CGACGTTTCCTAGGTAACATAACAATGCACGCAAGCTTACCATTGTTGTCGGTCCATATTTACACATTGTTGATATGGATCTTACACGTTTTCCTAGGTAACAATGCCGAGTAAACAAGACGTTCCATAGATATTGTCAACGTGCATGTAAAATCTAGTAAAACTTCAAGAGGAATAGAAGGAATTTTAACAGATGACATAACTATGTGACTTTATATTAAAATATAACAATTTATAACTATAATGACACGCCAACGACTTAAAAGAATTGTTTAATGATGTCTAAATATTTACTCCTGAAGACGCGGCTAATCGCTATTACCTGACGAAAAAAACTCACATTCCCAATTTGATTTTCCTTATCATTTCCGACATTCTGAAAAATTCCTTTCCACTGTCATATTTAAAGAAATCTGACTTTTAAAATATCAACTTTCAGAGCCGATTCTTTGATACTTGGAAATCTTTTGCGTAACAGAAACCCTTCTTCGAAAACAAATTTCGTTCCATTTGTCGCAAATTACTTGTCTTTAAATAAACGTGGCAGCCGATAAAAGATTTCCTAATTTCGTAGCCTCTCTTCATTAAAACTAAACTGGCTTCTTACCTTCTTCGCCTTTGGTTGAGTACGAGAATTATTCACACTTATTTAAACTCCGCTATTATTAAATCAAGCAGAACGAGGTCCGAGTCACACGACAGATTTCAATGCACGACCAACAACGACCAAAGTCCGACGAGAACTGACTCGGTCTGCTATTGCTACTGAAGCCAACAATGAACTACAAATAAACACTGAATTGAAACCCTGGTAATGAAGGCAACAATCAATTAAACACCTGCGTCTAGATGACGTCATCATAAATGAACTCAAAGTTCCCCATTGTTGGTTGGCGATTGCGCAATAATACGAAATGAGGATTCCTAGAAATAAAATTCTTCTTCTTAAGACCGAATGGATTTGTTCTAAAGCACAGAAGTAGAATTTATTTTGCAAAATATCGATCCACTTAAACCAGACAGGAATTTATTCCTAGCGTGCTACATGACTAGCTCCTCTCAACTTCAGTTTAATAATGATCCATTTTATTATTATCCTCACAGCTACTTTTTCAATTTGCATGTGGTCCATAACCCCTCAGTATTTCTGCCTAAACATTATCTCCCACTCGTTGGCGACTGTGCGGATTAAAATCTTATAAATTTGTTGTAATTAGTCTTGGTAACTTGGATTTAACGGGCGAGGAGAAAAATGACATATGGGATTTCAAATAACCATGAAGACCACATCAGTCATTCGGCAAAAAAGTGAAAGGAAAATGTATAAGATCCGTATCAACAAATCGACAACAATGGTTAGCTTGCGTGCATTGTTATGTTACCTAGGAAACGTCATCTGTTTGCTCGTCATTGTTGTTACCTATAAAACATTACTTTACATTTCATTACATTACATTTTTTTTTAATTTAGTGTTCTGTCTGACGACAGGTCCATATGAACAGGATCCTTCCATCCTTTTCTCGGACTGGGACCTGTTCATACACGTTCTTGGCAGATGATCCAGAAGTGGTTTGCCATTGCCTTCTTCTGTGTGTGAATGGAGTAATTGTTGGGATGCCACAGAGGAAAACTCCGTGTTGCTTATTTTGTGTTCTGTCTGACGACAGGTCCATATGAACATGATCCTTCCATCCTTTTCTCGGACTGGGACTTGTTCATATACGTTCTTGGCAGATGATCCAGCAGTGGTTTGCCATTGCCTTCTTCTGTGTGTGACTGGAGTAATTGTTGGGATGCCACGGAGGAAAACTCCGTGTTGCCTAGACCACGGCCTTGCCCAACACAAGTTATAAATTCGGGCACCGCCGGGAATCGAACCCGAGACCCCAGGAGTACAAGGCCAGCGTTCTAACCGCTAGACCACCGTGGCATGGTACATTACATTACAGAGACGTAAATATAATTTAAATAGAGAGACGTATTTACGTCAAATTCTCCGGAACTGTGGTTCCACTGTCAATTTTTAATTTAATTTATAGAAGTTAACGGTCCCTGTACAGACAAATGTAAACCCCTCGCTCACATTCTTCCATATCATCCTTCGATTTATATCCTTACACGTACGTCTTGATCTCCAAAGCCTTTGTCCAAAATTCTGCATGCTTCATTTAATCGTATTAATAATATTTGGTGAAAAGTTCAAATTATGATACATTATTTTAACAGCAAATATAACATTTATATGTCACAACAATTCCGGTTTAAGTTCAGCATTGAACATGTAGCTGAAATTGTGGGTTTATTTATTTTAGTAAATCACATCTCGAGAACGAACGGGACCGTTTTGCACCAAACATGGTATAATTATGATTTAAGGCCAGGAAGTGAACATAAGGAAGTCAGGACACTGGGAGAAGCGTCCTGGGTTCGATTTCTGGCAAGGGCGGTTGCTTTAGCTCTGAAAAATTATCCGTGTCTTACAGCACAGGAGACAGTCATGTTCATTTCGGGGGTTACATTTTTCAACGTTTGTAGACCAGAAAGAAATAACTTCCACTCCCCCACGGGTCTTCATGGTTTGGTGCTTAGTTAAGAATCCGGAAAACTTTATATTCCCTTTTTATCAGTTTAAAAAAAAATGCTTACACCAAATTTGTATTTTTGTTAAAAGTAAATTATCAAACATAAATCAGCACACAACCAGCAAGATCTTATTCATAATTTTCAAAACGTTCGTCGTTGTAAAAGTAATTGTTTTATAATCAAAAACAGTCTCCTCGCGTATTTCAGTTATTTCTACAAGTCATTTATCAAGCATTTTTAAATTTGTTTAAAGTGTTGCTTGAATTCACATCTCGAGATAAAATATAGAAATTACTGTGCACATACGAATGTTAATATCAAGCATGAAAAGCAATTTAGCTGACTCCTACATATAACAGCATCCGTCACCTCGATATTACGCTTATATACATATAAGGTCGGTGAGAAGTATGTTTACAAACTTCGTGTGCGTGTTCCAGAATCAAAAATCAGAAAAAATGTATTTAAAAAGAAGAAATTTAATAGAACTGAACCGAAACTCGCCTTCATGTTTTCCGTCCACACAATAAAAACATCAATGTAAATACATACCAAGAAAAAGCACGTCTAGAATAACTGCATTACTATTCCTCTGCGATTATTCACATTGGCGTCTGTTCAGAAATGATCTTTATATACCCACATTTTCTAATCTGTAACTAAATGTTTACTAGTAAAAATAACACTCGAAAATAAAATATTTCATATTACTTATCACATTGGACACTGCAAGACTAGTATTTTCTACACCACAAATTAATACGAGGTTAAGTTATTCCGGTTTGTGATTGCGTAATCTTCATCGTAGCGACCCAAACTCTCAACTGACATTTTAAAGCGTTCGTAAATTAGACGCTAATAGAGAAATTCGTAATACAATGTATATACCGCCACTTTAGTAGAAATCCGTTTCATAATCGCCACGCTTTATTGCAAAGAAAACCACCAACACGTTAGAAAAATATTTACTTATTACGACTGACCTCACACTACACCAAAACACCGCCTTGTCTAGATGTCAACTGCAGAACGGAACTTATCAACAACAGATTATAGCCAAAGAATGTCGTGTAAACCAAAGAGAATCGAATGTACACACATCTAAATGACATCAATTACGTCTTAGTAATTTCTTGAATCAGTCGATTAGTTAATTCTTAGTTTTTCACAAAATTCTATTGTATATAAAACGTTAAATAATTAATTATTACGGACGATCTTCGCTATACTAATGGATTGGGTGCGTTCAGAAACTGAGGGTTGCTCACTCAGCTGATTACAGAAGTTGGGTACCAACTTGAGAGTTGATAAACTGGCTTTTATAAGCCAAACTCATGAAGGAGACACTGACATTTGACATCATAACTTCTTGGGCATAAACTTACGCAATATATAGAATGATGACTGACAGTCTCTGCATGTTTTATTAGTGACCCAGTGGTCATAATTCCTGCATCAATATTTTCAAATTCACGATTTATTAACGTTTTCAAATATATGTGAAATTTGTGTTACATTGTACAGATTACTGTAGTCAATTTCAGTCACACTCGAAAAATTTTGATGATAGTTCTACCCAAATCTGATGAGGCATCTGTGACCCTGACGGAGCACGAAGCATTTCTTGATATTAGACAGATTTCTGTTTCTAAAGTTATATTTACAAGGGATCAGAGATCTTTCAGATCTTCCATGTTGAGGACTCCACGTCACGCTGCTGCTCAAACTACGCGAAGAGGCAATCCAATATAAAAAACACTTAGAAACAGATTAAAAATCATGCAATTTAATCAACGAATATTTGACATTTTATTAACGATAAACAACAAGACTGGAAAGCTGCAATCCGTATCAGAGCCCACGGATTTTCTGCATTTCTTTGGTGTTTTATTGAACAAAATATTCACATTCATAATATTCATACCATCTTCCACATCCTTGGCTTGTATTGGATCTATGGAATATAAATAAATTCTAATCGTAATTCTAAAGTCACGCTGACAATGTTCAGACAGCATTTCAGTTTAGTCCATTAAGAACTTTGGTTTGTAGTCACTGCTCTTATAATAACCTTCCAAAATTAATACTTAACCTTTTAAGGCCAAGACCACCTTCAATTTCCAGTAGTTCTGCATTTCACCAACAGAGTTCATTTATGGATTTAGTATTATTTTCAGATTACACAGCATAAACTAGCAAATCTTTGTAAGGGCGATGGGTCATTTCCTTCGTGATACGGACTCGATTTTCAATATTAACGAGATGAACTCAAAATCCAAAGGGTTATTTATCGAGTTCTAACAGAATAAAGCCGCAACTCTCAGTTATATTCAGCTGCGATAATTCGACCAGAACACCAGAACCTGTAATGTAACGTAACTCAAAAGATGGTGCTCTGTTCTCATGCGCAGATGGTAACATGATCAAATCCGACTCGGGACGAATGCTTTTATTACCGCTTGTAACTAAAAATATGTCAAGACTTTTGAGGGGACAAAGAACTTATGCCCCATGTTAAATCTGTCAAATATAACCTCAAAGTTTTGTACTGCCACCACGTCACTAACCGTTTAGTTACAATCAATATCTCATGCGATCTCTAGGTACATTTATGATCTATATCCACGTAAAAATTCCTGAGCCTAAGTAAAATAGTTCATTAGTCATCACAGTCAAACTTAAAGTCGGAGACAATATTTTCAAAAATCATATATTTTCTTTACACTCTACAGAAAAATCACCTAAACGAAATGACGACGATGATCTTCTGCGTTGTGATGACAAGTAGACTTGACGGTATCCACTCACAAGTCCGCACGGTACCACGACCCACAAGGACGACGTCATCTTCCGTGCCATGCGAACCACAAATCTCATACACCTTAACAAATGTCATGCGTGGTTTTTTTTATCTATTACCGTCGTCAGTGGTGCTACTGTTGGTCCCACCTCAGTAGTATGAGCATCCGCCATGTTATTAATCCCTATTTTATAAAATTAAACAGTACAAGTTTGGGGTTGCCATTAATGGCAAATCATCCTCGAAATTTCAAAAAATCGACCCAGAAGTTCTTCAGCTGAAGCTTGCGAAGAGACCAGCAATTTGTGTGTTCTTTTGACACACCCGGCAAAGAATACATATTAATGCAAACAGTGAGGGTCACGTTCCACCAGCTCCAACTGATACTGCCAACATCTCTTGGACGTCCACGATCTTCTCACGTGGCTTGCCGACCTTCTCGCCTCGGCTCCGTTCCACGGCGTCGACACGCTCCCAGTCTTTCCAGCTCACGGTTGTCACCCCTAAACCATGATATACGAAGGCGGTAGACAAAGAACTTGAGTCATAAAAGATGTTACATATTGACGGGGATGGAGGTAAAGCGAGAGACATCACAATTTGTGAACTGTCCTTCTTCTTTGCATGACGTTGCGTGCTTTAAATTATTAACAATTTTTAAGTTAATGTAATCCTACAAAAAAACATTTTTCTTCTGAATCCACTCAGCTATACAAAGTTCTGAACACAAACATAAAAACTACTCAAAGTCTGAAGGTGTCTGACGATGGTTCATTATAATATGTAAAATTATTATTCTTAACTTTGTCCACCACCCAAAAGCTGGATTCTGCTTGTCCTCAGGTAAGAAGGGGAAGAGGGCAGAAATCCTATCTGTTGGACCCCTAGTTGCGCTAGCCTCAGACCTGGTCCAGACCAGCAGACAGGACTTCTATCCTCTTCTCCTTCTTTACATGAAGATGGAAGCAGAATCCAGCTTCTGAGACACTGCAGTTTTATTATTTTATAATTCAGATGATGGACAGAGTGCAAAAGAACAATTCTCCGCATTATAAAACACTATCACCAGAAACCTTCAGAATCTGATTAGATTTCATGTTCTGTATTCAAACCCTTGTATAGCGGTGAAAATTCACAAGAAAAATGGTTCTTGTGGGGTTAAATTAACAAAATGTGAAATTTAACGCAGATGAATGACTGTACGTACCTCTGTCACTCAGCAGTTTAGCCACGGCCGTGTGCCCCGGTCTGGCCTGCGACGCATCCACACGCCCAGAGCACACATCAGCTTCGACAGCTCGCCCGACACCGAACGCCTGAGTCATGGTAGACAAGATTACACCGACGGGGCCAGTGGCAAGCCATCCTGCGACGTAAAGACCTGCACACATAATATCAGCATTTCAGTCTTCTAATTTTCCATTACATTCCAAAAGGATTTTTCAAAATCTGTTTTGGGTTCTTAACCTTTTGGGTGCAGCATTAATTAATTGGAATTTAAACTGTCTCAAAGTGCTGCATGTTAGAAAATTAAATTTTTAAGCTCTGTGTCAGAAGTTACTGCCATCCAGAACTGCTTTCCAGCGACTGTACCGATGGTGGCAAGCGTGCGTTAAGAGCTCAAGAAAATCGGTTTGAGAGCAGCTGCATCTAAGTCAATCCCAAGAAATATTTTAACTGTATTACATAGTATCCTTCTGTAAATTTTAAATATCTAGCACAACACTTTAATTACTTTATAATTTCCTGTCTCAGTTCTCGTAAACTGGTCTGGCGATTCCTTACCACCAGTCTATTAAAATTTTTCTTAACACTCAATACAACAACTGAGTCTCAGTTTTTACCACTGCGTTAATCACGTTGACAGATATTTCATCATATTGGTGATGTATTATTTTTCATATGTGTTATTGCTGTCTACAAATGTAACCTTCTCTCAAGTATTACAATTTTCTATACTGTCCCCAACAATACTTTGTAAGTTTAGTAATTGCTCAAAGTATTCAATTCATTTCTAAAGATAATAACACTTTTTCTCCAGGCCAACTTTCCTTTTTCTATCTAGTATACATTTTAATTAATTTCTTTTAATCATATTATTCCTGTAGGATTTGAGGTTTTCACTGTGATGAGCATGAAGATTGCTGTCTTCTGGGTTGTTGCATCGCGTAGTATGGTAGAAGTTTACCTCCTCCATCATCAGGGAGATAACTTCATCGCCCTGATGACGGAGGCAGTATGACCTCTGAAACGTTGGTAAACATCGACCAGACTACACAGCGCAATAACCCAGAAGACAGCAATCTTCATATTATTCCTCATCACTGCATAATAAAACTTTGTGTTTCCTTTACAATTTACCTTTAAATTCATAACAAATTTTTCCCATGTTCCTTTTTCCTCTAGCTTAATCAAACATTCACTTGTTTTTACACAACATTATCACCCTGAATAAAAACTCGACAAATTCTTACTGTTTTGTGTGCATTTAAAAATACCGTATTTACTTTAGTACCTGATGCACCATTTCTCTGAATTCACTGCCTTCAAAATTTGTGTGTCTGTTAGATTTAAGGATAAACATGTCTCGCCAGGACCATGCAGTACTGAAATGAAAATGGCGTGTATAACACTGGTCAACACGTAAAATGTTATGAAAATGAAACTTACCGATTTGACTAATTTTAGGCTGAGTTGATATAATTGCGTCATATTGTGAATTAAAATTTAATTATTCGTGTTCTTTTCCATCTAATCACAGTAATTAAGTTTTAGTTTATAATATTATAATTTTTAACTTTTAACTTTACACCTGAAGATGGTTCTATGTAACCGAAACATGTAGTAAAAAGATGTATCAAATATGTAAATGATGTATAAATTTTATTTATATACAATTGTGATTAGACGGAAAAAACACGAATAATTAATTTTAGGCTGCAGAACACGACCATCACATTAAAATTTGTCGATTGGCTCGTGTTTTCGAATTACGGCTGGGGTATCACATTGGTGAGTTACTCTACATTATTGTCACCACCCCGCTCTGCATTATGTGAAAAGCGTGTACATTAACTAGGCCATAAAAAAGGCTTACGAATTGTACTTTTGGTGTAAAGTAGGCGACCAGGACAAGAACAGGGCTCCACACACATGCTGCACCACCTGCTCATCAAAACTCAACGCGTGGGTGAATCGTAAGGGACGTTCTGTGCCTTTCTCAGTGCCCATGGTATGGAGGGAGCCAACAAATCACATCACAGACTGTTATTTCTGTATGGTGCCTCCTATTCGAAAAGGGATGACAATGAATAAAAAGTGGACAGTGACGTACCCAAATATACCATCTGCAATTCTCCCCGTCCCTCATGGTGAACTACTACCTATTCCTGAACCACCTGAAGATGAAGACACTGATGATGTTCATGTTGAGCTTGATATACATGAAGAAGTACATCAGCTGTCTACGTTAAGGGATCCACCATTTTGTATAAGCCTCTATCCTTCTGAAGCACATAAGATCACAGAAAGTGAGCTTAATGACCTCATCAGGGATCTCGAACTGCCAAAGAATAAGGCAGAGCTTTTGGCCTCGAGGCTAGAACAGTGAAATTTTCCAGATCATTCTGTGAAAGTGACAAAATTTTGTACTCGAAATAAAGACCGTGATGAATTCTATCAAACAGAAGGCGAACTCACTGACTTCTTATGGAAAAACTGGGGTGCAACATGTCATTGAAGATGCATTTGTTGTGCTCACACCTGGATTTCTTTCCGTCAAACTGTGGTGCCGTCAGCGACGAACATGGTGAGTGGTTCCATCAAGATATCACAGCGATGGAGCAAAGATACAAAAGCAAATGGAGTGCCGCCATGTTAGCTGATTATTGTTGGATGGTGAAAAGGGATGCTTCAGTAGCTAAATATAGGCTAAAGGCAAAAAGGCACCGTGTTTGAGAAAGGTATCTTTGCAGCTATATCTAACTGCCGTATAACTAAAAAATACTCTGTATAAATGTAACAAACAATTTTTTTTTTCAAAAACAATCTGCC